TTGAATATAATAAGGAATTAGGAAGTTATTATAATTTTTTTTATTATTAAGTATAAAGTGATATTTAAAAGTTCTCGAAATATGTCATTAAAAACAAATTGCACTCACTCTGAACCTTATTCACCAACATCATCTTCCATGTAATCCCCTTGAGAATGTAATACATCGATCTCAACCTTCCTGCTATGATTTGAATGCATTCTGAAAATCCTTTGTCAGAATGTTGATCACTACCCATGATTCAGATATTCTTTATGTAATCAAACATTCGATCCTTCATCTTGAGTTTCATTTTGAGAAGAGGAAGAAATCGGAAGAAGTCAGAAAAAAAAACGTTCAGAGAAGCACACAAAAAATTAGGTCCTTCATCACGACTTTTAATACGCTACTACTTAATACCAATTGTGACATAATTTTTGGTAACACATGGCAGTTGTCCTCCATTCTTTTTATATGCTAGATTTAGCCTCCTAAGATTTCTTTCTCTTCTAAAAAATTAAAATCAAGAAATATCAAAATATTTGACAATACAAAAGACGCAAACAGAATCGCGGACGGTGATGAAGTTTGATAAAGAAGGATTTTTAAAATGCATTTAAACTATGGCAGAAATGTTGGGAACGATGTGTAGCTCTCAAGGAGACTATATTGAAGGTGATAGTAATGAATAACATGCAGGTAAATGTAATTTATTTCCTTAACATATTTCGGAAACTCTTTGGTACTCGTATATCTATAGTATGTGCACGTATATACAAGGTATCCCAAAATACCTTTTACAACGTTCGTGAGCAGATAGGACACAGTAAACTGAAGAGAAAGTTTTATACCAAATATAATCTGAGTGAATGAGCAGGTAGAAAGCGATAGGCCTAGGAATCGGTAAGCATATAAGATGATCTATTTGTTTACATCGCTTAATAACAAAAATATCATCTTATTTTTTGGCGTGGTGACATTGCTCACCGCTCGCTGCATGACTCTGTCTTTTGCACAAATAATGCTTCAATTAATTATAAGTGACGTAAACAAGTAAGTCATCTTACATGCCTATCAATTCTGGCCTACCGCTTTTCACCCGCTCATTTGCTTAGATATTTTGATTAATAACTCAATCATTATTACAAATATCACAAAATGGTATAAAACTTTTCTGTTTAGTTTACTGTGCCTTACCTACTCCCGAGCGTTGGTACAAGTGCTCTTGCGGGACACCGCATACACACACAACATGCATTATATAAAATTATATAATGTATTATATAAAATTATATAATGCATGTTTGTTTTATTAATTATATATTTGACAGTCAAATATTTGGACATCACAGGGTTTTAGAAAAAAAAGGAATTGGGCAAAAATTGTAGTTTTACGGGGAACATAATATATATAGTGACTAAAGGCCATGGCACATAGAAAAACGTTAGCAGTAAGACTTAAGGTCGAAGCATAGGCTTTTGCATAACGCATAAAAGAATCAACTAATCAAAGTCCTTCATTTTCATTCTGAGAATGGAAATGAAGGACTCATCTGATTGGTTGAATCTCTTATATCTTATGCATTAAGCGTTATGCAAAAGTCTGTGCTTCGGCCCTTAAAATTTAAGCGAATCGACCACGGTCCAATAGTAAGGCAACTAATGACCTTAATATTTGACTGTAATTAGTCGATTCATTCAAGTTTTAACTTTTAAAACTGTAACACTAAGGTCATGATTGCCTTAGGCCTGGTCTACAATAAGTCGTATGTCGCAGTCGGATGTCAGAACATAAGTGATGGTCCAATAAGGAAATTTTGTTATCGAAAAAGAAATTTTCTTTCCGATTTCGCTTACTGCCATCCCCACTTTTTTTATTTCATTGCATCTAGATTGCGCGCGGAGACATAAGACATTCAACCTCAGGGATAATGTTTGAATCATACACAGTGCGTTGGCGCGTATCACCCCGTGCGCTATTTTTTATTATTATGTTATTACAATTACATATTATATTAAAGATAACATTAAAATGAAATACGTATGTTAATTGCACATATGTGTGCGTGTATATCGGGGTCTGTATATAAACTTATTATATATGTAATAAAACATATTTCCAAATATAATATTAATATTTTTGTTTAATATAATTATTATATATTGCAATGAAACCAATAGATGGTATATATTTAAATTTAATGTCAATAGATTTCCACATCACCTTATTTAAATCTTTTTTTTCCTATATATTTTCGAATCCTCATTTACAAAAATAAAATACATTAATTCGAGTGCACGATCTTCATTAAACAATATATACAGGGTGGGGCAATAACTATTAGGACCTTAAATATCTTCGAATGTATGAGGCCCAGAGAAAGATTTGTGTAACAAAAATTGCACGATACGAAGGGGGCTATCATATGGCGATAATAATTTTTGTCCAGGTGAAGGCGCTTCGAAGATACCAAGGTCATCTTCATTTTTTTAAATGGATCCGATATGTTTTTTTTCTATAATATGATAGAGGAACTCGAAACAAGTTCAGAACTCACGACACAAGATCATTGAACAAGATTTAAAGTAAAGAAAAATCGATAGAAATATATTTTTATTATTAAATGAAATTCACGTTTACAAAAGATGTTCGAACGGATACATCGTGCATGATTGATTGACTTTTATTTTCATTTTATTTTAATCTTATTTCAACCCATTTTCATGTCTAGTTATCCTGAGAACTTGCTCAGATGTCTTTCATCGGACCTATATTTTTCTCGCTTATTTTCTCCATATGTAAGTTCGAGATTAATTTATATATGGAACTTAGTAATCTCAAACCAAGAGAGACAGTTCCAAAAAATTAATTTTTGTGTTTGGGCTCTATTGGCCGATTTAAAATATCATATATATTATTCTTAAGATTGAGAGCCGATAAAAATATTTCTCATTTTAAAAAATTTTTTGTCAAAAAGTACAATTATAAGAGTATATCTACTAACAAAATTATAATACTTTATAGTAAATTAAATAAATCAAGATTGCCTGAGAATTCTACAACAAAATTCCTTTCCCACATATTAAAGATTGTCAAATATTAAAATAGATGTTTCACATTTAAAATAACTTTGTAAAGTGATAAGTCATGTATGGTAAATCAGCCGAGAAACAAAATGAATAAACAACCTATGTTTATTTAAAAGAGTTTTTTCAAGTTGTTATTATTTTGTCATATATAGGATTTAAATTTTTCGTGTCCTTATGTAAATTAATTGTATTGTCATGTTAATTTACATAAGGACACGGAAAATTTAAGTCCTATATATGACAAAATAATAACAACTTGAAAAAACTCTTTTAAATAAACAGGTCGCCTCATTATGTTTCTCGGCTAGTTTATCATACATGACTTGTCACTCTATAAAGTCAATTTAAATGTGAAACATCTATTTTAATATTTGATAATCTTTAATATGTGGGAAAGAAATTTTGTTGTGGAATAATTAGGCAATCTTGATTTATTTAATTTACTATAAAGTATTATAATTTTGTTAGTAGATGTACTCTTATAATTGTACTTTTTAACAAAAAATCTTTTGTGTATACTTGTAGCTCACTTGAAAAGGACCGAAATCAATGGTCGAAACGTCATGATCTACTTTTATGTAACCATAGCCAGAGTTTGGTCGTATATGAATAAAAATAATTTTTATCATTACTGGCAAATAAAAAACTTGTTTATTGGATATACTGAATAATACTTAGGCAACAGAGTAGTTTAACAAATAAATTTACGTACACATCGATATAAACGTAAATTTATTTGTTAAAAGGCATTCTGTTGCAGAATTTAGCTCAAAAAGAGCAATAATTTTATGACATTTTTAATTTTATTAATTTCTGTTTTTGCCAACCTTATATAATTCTCACAACGAAAATCAAATACGAGAAAGATACGTCACATAGCGGTAAATGAAAGAACTAATTTAGTTAAAAAATATTTACAAAATAATTACTATAAATATTTATCTTTACATACCATAAATATCATATAAAATATTTAATCTATGTTTTAATAATACGGTAAAGGTTTTTATAAAACATTTTAAAAATATTATATAATATTTGAAAAAAATATATATTCATAAATATTTATAAATCTTTATCATAAATATTGTGTACTGTCTAGGAGATAATCATTAACCATTCAAAGTAACTGGCGAAATAAAAGATTTTATCTTTATTAATTAATTAAAAACATACTCTCAACGAAGTATGCTTTTACATTTGCTATCCATCTGATATAAAATATTTTAATTAATAATTATACACATACACACACGTGTGCGCGCGCGCGTACAAAGTCTCCTAAAAAGACAAGTTGTCTTTTTAATAACAGATTCTCTCTAATCAAATTGAAGAGAATTTTTTTAGCGAAAATGTCGAGATAGTAATAATTTCCGAGCTATTTGAGAAAGGAGGGTTTTTTTACAAATTAAACTTTATGAAGTTAAAAGATTAACACAATTGAATTTTTTATTTAATTTTAGGTAGAGTTTATTTTAATAAAATTTCAATTTAAAACTTAAATACAAAAATATACCAATAATGATAAAAATTGGAAACTTGCAAAAAATGATAATTTCTTTATACTTTCCTTGAGAAAAAATGTTTTTAAATTGTCCAAAATTTGGAGGACATCGATAGTTTTTTAAACGGTGTAATATCTATAATGTGATACTCGCAACTTATTGTTAGAGCAAGGCTTAATAACATAGAGTCTTATAAATTATAAAATAGAATATATATATATATAAAATATAGATTCGCAATATTATTAAAATTTACACTTTTTTGTTAATAATCCTTGAAGAACCTACTGATCTCGCTTTTCCTTTGATTATCGATATTCTCTAAATTAATAATAATTTGTTTCTTTAATTTTTTTTAAATTTAGAGAACAAATTTAAATAAAAAATTGATCTTGATACTAATTATTATCAAAGATTTCGACTTACCTTGTAGGAATACTGGTTATACATTCTGCAAGATTCAAGATCGTTATTGAGAATGGAATAACCAGCATCCATACTGACCCGATGTTTCTTCTCGCCGCCTGGAACGAGTCTTTGTGAATGAAAAGCAATCTATCACGCACAGACACAGTTTGACAACTAGTACCGAACAAACTGATCGCAATTGCACCGACTATACCGTCGCTCATCGTATGATTTTGCTGCAACACGATGTCAACCTCGTCGTATCACACTCCGAGAGAGAATCGGTTTAACTCGCTTCAGTGTATTCACCAATCGCGACTCGCGTAGTAGCTCGTAACGCGAATGTGATAATTCATGACTCGCGCGAATAATATATATCCTGCTGACCGCGATTTGGATCGAAACTTGCGCGAAAGATCATATTCGAGAGATCTAGGTGTTTTCGATTATCGAGACATTTGAATGTCTTACCGCGAAAGTGGCTTTTTCACATTAAGTATTAGGAATTTATTTTTTCGAAAAAAATATGACAAAGTCGAACAAATTGTGTCAATCAGAAGCACCGAAAGCGGAAGCGATTGACCACTATGTCGATCGTGTTGACGATCTTGATGTTACGCACGACCAAAAACCGAATTGTTGTAATATGTCGCGAACGACACCGTCACTGGTCGACAGGTGCTACAATAATGTAAGCATCGAATGCGACTCTCGTGATTTGTACGAAAAGGAGCGACCACACTAACGGTCATGAACGAATGAGCGAGCGAACGAACGAACGGCAGTAGTAGCGGCAATGGCAAACTGTATGTTTGATGGTTACACTTTCGTGACAAGGAAGATCCTTTGTTGTTTCACCGCGCGAGCGCGGGCACGCGCGCGAGCGCGGATCGTAAGGTTAGGCTATGCACCCTGAGCCTGAGCGCACGGATTACGAACGTTGTGAATCAAGGCGTTACGTTAAGATTAGGTTAGGGTTAGGTTAGGTTAGGTTAGGTTGCGATTAGGGGTTAGGTTAGGTTGCGTGCATCGCGCGCTTTGCGTGCTACCGTGATAGTGCCGCGGATTCAAAGCGAGGTGGGTCACCTCACCATAAAACTTAGCGTTGCTACTTGTTCTATTCAACGCTTCTCTTTCTCTTCCTCTTCCTCTTTCCCTTTCCTTCTCCTTCCCTCCCTCCCTTTCTTCCTCTTCCCTTTCTCTTTCTCTGTCTCCCTTAACCACTCAATATATACGCGCAATCATCTTACTCTCTCGTGACTACCCGTTTCTCCTACTCACGCGGGATTCGCAGAGCACGAGCCTACTTCTTCCCTCCTTCTCAATGCGCGACTCCGACAGGAACGCGTATGGCCCGCGTCGCTCAACAGAAATCCTTAGAATCATGGATACTACCCTTGTACTTTTTATAACTTTACTGTCTTTTTGAGCTTATTGAATAAACTCGACGCGATTTGCGATAGACATCGATTTATCTATTCAGGTAGCAAGAGCATATCATTTTCTTGTCATATGATGTCATTTTGATGTCAAATTACGTCATTTATATGTTCAATTGCTATATAATGTGCATTTGCCTTTTGGGCAGCGATATAAAATTTGAAGTCTTATCTTTTACGAATTAGTATATTCTATAATTATCTGTTTCAAATTTATCAACTGGTTCAATCTATCAAGCACAAATTTATTTGACATAATATAAAAATAACCCGATAATAATGTCTCGATTTTTCCTAGATAGCACCATATCCAAAATTGATGCATAAGATATTATTAAGGATTCTTTAAGACATCTTTAAGAAATCTTATGATATGATATTCCAAAGATATCTTAAAAACATCTTAAAGATGTCTTATGCTCCAATTTTGGACATGCTGTCTGGGTTTTTTATTCAAATTACGTGCGTGATACATATATGAATTTAATATGCGATTTAAGGATGATTTAAATTTGATTTTATTTTATTAATTTTTTTCACATCTATCCTTTTCGACTTGTACCATACTGATCGACTATTTATCGTATAGTAGCAGGAGCGAATGAGATTAGAATTAAACACAAAAGTAAAAGAAGTTACAACACAGTCTCATACAGTAGGCAGAATCAATATAGAGTGTTATGCAAATAAGATGCAATTGTGTCATTGGATATTTAGAATGTGTTGTTTAAGAATTTCTCGTTATTAAAGTGCGTGTCATAACTGGTTAGAAGCTAACTGTGAAGAAGAAATATAAAACATATCATAAATTATATTCCTTATTGTTAACATCGTACAAATAAAATCAGTCAAACAGTAGTAGTCACGTGGTTTGCACGTGGATCTCATTCATGAAACATGCTTATAGATCGTAGCCGGAGTAACGCCAACAGCAGTAACAATGACTGGCTGTTGTCGCTGTAGTAGTAATAATGTTGGTAGTAGTGATGAGTAACAACATCGAAGATATGATCGTGGTGGTGTTACTAGATAGCAAGTAGACAGGCAGACAGTCTAGCAAGGTGGTTAACCTGAACTGGTTGGCAAGTCGAAGCAAGTCAATGGTGGATGTCGTAGAGTGGAGTTTGTAGTAGCATACGTGTGTTGGTTTACGCCCCAAGCGAACTATCTAGCCAGCCAACCAGCCAACCAATCAACCAAGCGAAGTGGAGAGAATATGAAGATGAGGGAAATCATGAAACTATAGTATCAGAAACATAGTATTTTTTACTTCCTCTTTTCGATGTTTTCTTCCTCGAGATTTCTTAAAGTCTCTCTTATGACATATCCATTATCTAAGCCATTGTCTAAAGATTACAACTTTAAAATTATTCTTATATTTTGCTTCATTTCTTCACAATCTGTGCAGCCACTCTATTCTTTTGCTTTCATCTATTTTTTTCTTGTAATACTCGTTCACTCATGTCTGTATGAGTCCAATTAACTCAACTAACTCAACAAACGCAAACATTTTCCAGTGATCAGTTTTATTAGAACAATATGCTTAATCGAGTTTGACTTTATCATTTATTAAATGTTTTAAATATAACCAAATATCCAAATACTAACTTGTAACATTAATAATGATGAATGCAAATGGGATTAATATACAAACAAAATAAAATTGGGATTTCTACTATGATTCCTAAAGTTGATTCTTGCAAGCTACAAAATCGATTGGTTGGAGTAGCAATATATGCACATTATTATTGTGTATATATTTGTAAAAAATTTAACTACTAATTTTTATTAATTTATGCATATTTTTATGTAATCATTAGTTTATTAGTTTCGTCATAACAATTGTAATCACTAAATTTTTAACATACATCAATAATGTAGCAATATAATATAGTAATACAATTAGCTTTTAGCTCCTATCATTACATCAGTATCATGTTTGCGTTAAGCATTTGTGATCGAATCACAAATGTCGCAATTTTTTACCGCGAAAGAATTTCTCGCTATTGATATTACATCTTTTTACAATTAAATTGCGTCTTTAATATACTTTATGATTATTATACAACGGAATAATTCTGCTAGTATCTTGATGCTTGGTCAATGGTACATATAATAGCAATCCTACAAAGTACGCATTATGCATACGTTCTTAAAACAGCATATGTACATTTCAGACTTCCGAGTCTCGTTGAACGCGCGCATATCCCGTGGGAATCAATATCCGCACGTCTCCCAGTCTCTCTCCTCTATACCCCTGTTCCCCTTCCCCTCCCCCTCCCCTCTGGCCCCTCATCGACCATCTCGCTCATCCGCTCTCTTTCCTCCGGTACACGGATCTACCCCCTTGCCTATAACCTCTCGCGGGTGCTGCACCTTCTTTAGTACCGTGTACTGTGTACCACCCCTACGCGGAGTGAAGCAGAGAGAAACGGAATGGAGCGGTGCGGCCATCTGCCTCTGATGAATGTGATTTAAAGAGGGAGAGCAAAATACGGCCACCTGCCTTTCTCCTTTGGGTACCTCCACAACTCTCTTTCTACCACCCTATCCACCTTCCCCCGTGCCAGACTCGTGCGATCCCTCTCTACCAACCCCTTCCATTACCATCTCCTATCTTCTATCAACTTCCACCACGTCAACCTACCTACCTACCTACCTACCTACCTACCTACCCCTTCTTCGTTTCTCTACCCTGGCAGCTACATCTCACCCAAGTCGACACACAACTACAAAACATTCAATTTGAACGTAAAGTTAAAACGAAATGGATTTTCCAGCGCGAGTACAGTCGCTGTCAGAAACTCTCGCGCCCAATCTCTCTACACGTAGTATTCGAGATATATGAGATGGAATGTAGATAAAATGCAGATAATGAGGAAGAATTCGTTTCTGTATACTTTGCATATTGCATATTACTTTTTGTATATTCTCTAATCAAAATGCTTTTGAATTTATTCTTGTTCGCGAGTATTCTGATGAGTAATAAAAATTTAGAACATACACGATACAAATTTTATTTCTATTTGTTTTTTTAATGTTTTAGTGTTCTTATCAAATTCTTGCTTTTTGCGCTTTCGCTTCTCTATATTTTTATTTCATAAATTATTGATCGCTTGGTATTATCTAATTTTATCATTTCTCTTTCCTTGTTCTGAAGTATAAACTGTTCGATAAAAGAATAGGAATTTAATAAGCTTTTTTGTCAAAACGTTTTAAGATATTAAATTGTTGATAGGTATTCTTTTTTGAAGCAAAAAAAGAGAAAAATTCGAGTTGTTACAAAAAATTACTCCTTACATTTTATTGTAACATCAGAATACCTCTGTCATCCATAATTTAAGTTATAAAATAAAATTATGGAAACTATCATATTATGAAGAAAAAAAAGGAATAGAAGGTGATTGTATTATACAAAGATGTAAAAAATAGTTGAACATTGAAGTATTGCATAATTTTATACATATATAATGAAACGCAGTAAAGTTTCCTCGACAAAATAATTCTGAGTCGAATTAAAATAAAAACAGATTCGTAGAAAAATCTGCACTCTTATGAATCGCAAGAAATAAATTATGCATTTGACTAATGATAACTCTCTTCTGCACTTTTGCTTTTTGATTTACCCAAGAAATTGAACAAATCTAAAAAGATCGAAATATAGGAAACATACATACATATTCAAAGACAAGAAGTACTTCTTTCATTGTTATTTTTTCGTACAAAATATTAAATTTATTAGATTAATTTTTTTGCTTAAGCTAAAGTAACATTAAAGAACAAACTTCTGAAGAACAAATAAGTTATGGATATATAAAATATGCATGTAAGATCTTCTGAATGAATTTCATGAATTTTCATAATATATTGATTATATATATATATATATAGTAACAAAAAAATATTGACTAATAACATGATGTTTTAAAAATTTAAATTTGAAGTAGTTTGACTCTCTCAACGAGTTTTTCGCCAGTTTTCTTCACTATAATGCTGAATCAACCTCATAAACAATCGACCATGGTCACCCTCAACCTTATATCTTTCACTCTTGCTCTTAATAATGTTCTTATTTCCCCTCCCTCTCTTTCCTTCTCCTTCACCCCTTCCTTTTCTCTATTTCCCTCCTCTTTCCTTCTTTCAAATACGATTGAATTTCTTACAGAAAATTGACTCTTTGTTTCTTTCAATTTTACGTAGTCTGATTGATCAAGTGAAAAATCAAGGTAATATTATTGTTGATAATCGATAAAAAGAGCATGTTGCAACTAATATATTACATGTTTTATTAATTATATACCTTTTGGAAAAATGTCAAATAATATTAATAATCTAATAAACAACAAACACATTACAGAATATTTACTAGCAAGCGTTACGTATATAGCAATATAACACAAAAAGGATAGACCTAAATGCACGATAAACCTCATGGACGATGTTCAATGAACGCTATTACTATCATCAAAAGAGGCATTTCTCATTCAATTAACCGTTTTTAATATCATAAAAGAAATTTCATCGTTGCAGATACTTATCACATGCGCTAGCACTCAATAAAGTAACTTTCAGATAAATACTCGATCAACGGAACATTTATATAAAATATGCAAAATATATTTAACTTATATTTCCCGCTATTGAAAAATCTCTCAGACATATTTGTTCAAAAAATAACTATTACGCCGTCAATAATAATGTGAG